TCGCTCTGTTGCCCAGGCTGGAGTGCAGTGGCGCGATCTCGGCTCACTGCAAGCTCCGCCTCCCGGGTTCACGCCATTCTCTTGCCTCAGCCTCCCCAGTAGCTGGGACTACAGGCCCACGCCACCACGCCCGGCTAATTTTTTTGTATTTTTAGTAGAGACGGGGTTTCACTGTGTTAGTCAGGATGGTCTCGATCTCCTGATCTCCTGATCTCCTGATCCGCCCGCCTCGGTCTCCCAAAGTGCTGGGATTACAGGCATGAGCCACCGCGCCCAGCCTATTGTTACCATCTTTATGTCCATTTGTACCTAGTGTTTAGCTCCCATTTATAAGTGAGAACACATGGTATTTTGTTTTCTGTTCCTGTGTTAATTCACTTAGGATTATGACCTCCAACGGCATCCATGTTGCTGCAAACGACATGATTTCATTCTTTTTTATCACTGCATAGCATTCCATAGTGTGTATGTACCACATTTTCTTTCTCCATTTCACCATTCGTGGGCACCTAGGTTGGTTTCATGTCTTTGCTATTGTGAATAGTGCTGTGAGGAACATATGGGTGCATGTGTCCTTTTGGTAGAACAATTTATTTTCCTTTGGGTACATACCCAGTAATGGGATTCCTAGGTTGAATGGTATTTCAACTCTTCTTTTTTTATTTTTTTATTTTTTTTTGAGACCGAGTCTTACTCTGTCACCCAGGCTGGAGTACAGTGATGCAATCTTGGATCACTGAAACCTCTGCCTCCCGGGTTCAAGTGATTTTCATGCCTCAGTCTTCAGAGCAGCTGGGATTACAGTCGTGTGCCACTACACCCAGCTAATTTGTGTATTTTTAATCTGCCTGCCTGGGCCTCCCAAAGTACTGAGATTACAGGTGTGAACCACAGCACCCAGCCTCAACTCTTATTTCTTTGAGAAATTTCCAAGCTGCTGAATTAATTTACATTCGCACCAACAGCACGTAAGTGTCTGTTTTCTCTGCAGCCTCACCAACGTCTGTTAGTTTTTGACTTTTTAACAAAAACCATTCTGACCGGTGTGAGATAGTGTCTCATGGTGGTTTTGATTTGCATCTCTTTGATGATTAGTGATGATGAGCATTTTTTCATGAGTGTGTTGGCCACTCGTGTATCTTCTTTTGAGTAATGATGAAAAGACATTTTGTAGGAAAGGAAATATAAAGGTCTCTTAAACATAGGAAAATGTTTCTTCTCCTCACCCTTCTCCCTACCCCTTCAGCTGCTTGCTGAGCAGACCTTATCCCTGCTTCACCTATTCCAAGCTCTTAATCACCACCTGACAAACTGTATTTCCTTGTTTGTTTACTGTTTCAGTGTCCTTCCTGAAACATAATCTCCGTGAGAGCAGGGACCATTCTAGGTACAGGGGATATGCAAGGAGACCCTCGGATATGCTTTTGCATATCCCCTATACCTAGCATGATGTCTGGTACATAATAGGTACTCAGCAAACATTTGTTGCAATGAATTAGTGAGTTTTACTCAAAATGCAAGAAAGATGAGTTACAGGATAGTATTTTTTTAACCTAGGAAATTAGGAAAACTAAAAGAAAACTGGGTAACACACTATATGAGGAAGATTGTGGTCAAATAAGTACTTTCATGCATTGCTGATGGCAGTGTAAATTGCTTAACCATCCACGGAGGGCAGTTTGGAAATATTAATCAAGATTACAAATGCGACCAGGCATGATGGCTCACGCCTGTAATCCCAGCACTTTGGGAGGCCAAGACAGGCGGATCATGAGGTCAGGAGATCAAGACCATCCTGGCTAACACGGTGAAACCCCGTCTCTACTAAAAATACAAAAAATTAGCTGGGCGTGTTGGCGGGCACCTGTAGTCCCAGCTGCTTGGGAGACTGAGGCAGGAGAATAGAGTGAAACTGGGAGGCAGAGCTTGCAGTGAGCCGAGATCGCACCACTGCATTCCAGCCTGGGCGACAGAGCGAGACTCCATCTCAAGAAAGAAAGAAAGAAAAAAAAGATTACAAATGCTGGCAGAGCACAGTGGCTGACGCGTGTAATCCCAGCACTTTGGGAGGCCGAGACAGACAGATCACCTGAAGTCAAGAATTCGAGACCACCCTGGCCAACATGGCAAAACCCTGTCTCTACTAAAAATACAAAAATTAGCTGGGCATGGTGGTGGGCCCCTGTAATCCCAGCAACTCAGGAGGCTGAGGCAGGACAATCGCTTGAACTCAGGAGGCAGAGGTTGCAGTGATCTGAAATCGCACCACTGCACTCCAGCCTGGGCAACAAGAGTGAAACTCTGTCTCAAAAAAAAAAAAAAAAAAAAAAAGATTACAAATGCATATATTTTTGACTCAGCAGTATTAGTTCTACATATTTGTCTTACCCATATATTTACAGAAATAATTCTTTACAAAATTATTCTTACAGTGCTTATAACTGCAAAAGAAATAAAGAAAAGGAAAAAAGAAGGCAGCCTAAAGATCCATCTGTAGGGAATTGGTTAAATGATCGTTCATCTATATAAGAGAATGTGGTGCAGCCATAACAAAGAATGCAGAAGCTCTTTTTTTAAAAAAAATTGCTATTTATTTCCTAGGAAGCTCTTTATGTACCAATATAAGACATATTGATAAATGAAAAAAGAACTGCGTAGAACAGGGTATAGTATGCCATCATTTGTGGCAAAAGAGGGGAAAATAAGAATATGTACATAAATGCTTGTATGGATATAAAATAGTTTTGAAGGTTACTCAAGATCCCATTGATAGTCTCTGGGAAGCTGGTGTCACAGGTCGGGCGAGACTTTTCACTGTATACCCTTTTTGACCTGTTGAATCTTGAATATTGTTTGTATCAGTGCCTTGTTGGAGAGGCAAAAGAGCACAGTGGTTCAACAGCATGGGCTGTGTATCCAACCTAGCAGAAGTCAAATCACAACTCCTTTATTATTTAGCAACTTTATTAATCTTTCTGGGACTCAGTTACCTCATCTATAAAATGGGTGTAAAATAGGATCTACCTCATAGGGTTGTACAGATGAAATGAGCTCATTCATGTAAAGCACAGTGCTGGTACAGAGAAAGAACTGCATTATTGCTATTACTATTCATTTCCATTATGTGTATATAATAACCTATAGGTCAGTTATTTAAGTTGATTAACACAATCTTAAATCACAACTTTAAATCTTAAATCACACACTTAAATTTTTTTTTTTTGGAGACGGAGTCTTGCTCTGTCCCCCAGGCTGGAGTGCAGTAGCAGGATCTCGGCTCACTGCAAGCTCCGACCCCTGGGTTCACCCCATTCTCCTGCCTCAGTCTCCCCAGTAACTGGGACTACAGACGCCTGCCAGCATGCCTGGCTAATTTTTTGTATTTGTAGTAGAGATGGGGTTTCACCATGTTAGCCAGGATGGTTTTGATCTCCTGACCTTGTGATCTGCTCGCCTCGGCCTCCCAAAGTGCTGGGGTTACAGGTGTGAGCCACCGTGCCCGGCAAATCTCAAATCTTAAACTGACCTATAGGCATTATTCAGGGACTTGCTACTTTGGTGTTAATTATAGTTATCCTGTGTTGGATTTTTCAGACACTCCAGATGTCAACATATATTATACTCTGGATGGCAGCAAACCTGAATTTCTAAAGAGAACTGGCTATGGGGAAAATAACACATTTAAGTATACAAAACCTATTACTCTGCCTGATGGAAAAATACAAGTTAAAGCTATTGCTGTCTCTAAGTAAGTTAAGAGCATGGTGATTAAATTAATTTATGATATTATAACATTGTGTTCTAATTTTATTCATTTTTTCCTATCAGAATCAGTGCTGCATTAGAAGGACACTACTGAAATGTTATTTTAATTTTGGCTTACATACGTAACATTTGTGTTTTACTGGCCTTTCCTTGAGGCATACTGTGAGGTACAGAAATCATAAGTAGATAGCTCAGTGAAGTGTTATGTATATTAATACTGTTTTTATTTCAAATTCCACATTGGGGTTTCAGGAAGGAAGATCCTTTCCAGGACTGGGGGCCTCTGAAGAGCTCCATGTGGCTCTGAAGAAAATACTGTGTTCATGGAGTGGCTCTTTCATTCCCCAGGGTGCAGCCTACAACTATCATTCTCAATTTCATTTTGTATCGACTTAATTGGCCTTCAAAGCTACTGTCATTTCAACTTGTTGGATATTAGCTACCATACTTTTTTCTTTATCCTTTTTTTTCTTAATGACTTTTTCCCATTTTCAAATATAGAAACACTATTCAATTTGGAAACCTTCACCATGTGTTGTGGGAAAAAAAAAAAACAAACAAACTCAAATGCTTGGCAATTCTGTGTGGCTGTGATATAGGAATTATTTTTCCAGCAATGCAGGTTTGGCCATATTTTGGGAACATTTAAAAGCCCCAAACTGGCCGGGCACAGTGGCTCACGCCTGTAATCCCAGCACTTTGGAAGGCCGAGGTGGGCGGATCACGAGGTCAGGCGATAGACACCGTCCTGGCTAACATGGTGAAACCGCGTCTCTACTAAAAATACAAAAAAATTAGCTGGGCGTGGTGGCGGGCGCCTGTAGTCCCAGCTACTTGGGAGGCTGAGGCAGGAGAATGGCATGAACCCAGGAGGCAGAGGTTGCAGTGAGCTGAGATCGCACCACTGCATCCAGCCTGGGTGACAGAGTGACACTCTGTCTCAAAAGAAAAAAAAAAAAGCCCCAAACTAAATACAGTACCGGGCTGGCCCTGTTACTTTGAAAGGACTCTAGCCCCAGCCCCCACTGACTGAATTACTGCATGGCTTTTTGAGGAGAGCTACACATTCCACAGCAAACATGATTGCTTTGGCATCTGAAAATTAAAACAAATACAATGAAACGAAACAATCCCTTTATGCACATTATTATTGTTTTTAAATGGGTTCTGCAAATGGAGTATATGCACGTTATTATTCTTTATAAAATGTTGGAACATGTAGCCCTTTCTCACTTGCCAAGCCACTTCTATCAAGGTAAGTCATCTCAATTATTAAAAATTAAGAAGCTTTTTAATGATTGCCATTCTCACTGGTGTGAGATGGTATCTCATTGTGGTTTTGATTTGCATTTCTCTGATGATGAGCATGAAACAGCAGGTGCTGGAGAGGATGTGGAGAAATAGGAACACTTTTACACTGTTGGTGGGATTGTAAACTAGTTCAACCATTGTGGAAAACAGTGTGGCGATTCCTCAAGGATCTAGAACTAGAAATACCATTTGACCCAGCCATCCCATTACTGGATATATACTCAAAGGATTATAAATCATGCTGCTATAAAGACACATGCACACATATGTTTATTGCAGCACTATTCACAATAGCAAAGATTTGGAATCAACCCGAATGTCCATCAGTGACAGACTGGATTAAGAAAATGTGGCACATATACACCATGGAATACTATGCAGCCATAAAAAAGGATGAGTTTGTGTCCTTTGTAGGGACATGGGTGCAGCTGGAAACCATCATTCTCAGCAAACTATCGCAAGAACAGAAAACCAAACACTGCATGTTCTCACTCATAGGTGGGAACTGAACAATGAGATCACTTGGACACGGGAAGAGGAGCATCATACACCAGGGCCTATTGTGGGGATGAGGGAGGGATAGCATTAAGAGATATACCTAATGTAAATGACAAGTTAATGGGTGCAGCACACCAACATGGCACATGTATACATGTATAACAAACCTGCACGTTGTACACATGTACCCTAGAACTTAAAGTATAATAATAATAATAATAAAATTAAGAAGCTAAATACTCTGGTGGCCAAATGCTGTAAAGCAGGCCTCCTTAGAAGCTGCAAGTACTAGTAAAATGAAGAAGCAATTTAATTACTGACTATACAGTTTGAAGGAGTTAATAAGGCTTTCGAGAGAGAGTAAAAAATAAGGTCATTCTTTATGCCTCTCACCGTTCTGCTCTGTGCCCTCTAAGTGTCTATTCTGAAAGGTACTTAACAGTACTAGCGTATTTCAGATGTGCTCATATTTATATTTATATATTTATATAAAATATTTATATATTTATATAAAAAATTTATATATTTATATAAAAAACATTTGAATTTTCAGCTCAAACAGTGAATGCCTTAGCTGGTTCCCCAAGGAAGGGCCAGCTGGGGTGGGGGAAACAGCCTGGATCTTAGGGGGTGGAATAAGTGGGTAAGAGCCAGGCCTCTACTCATGTGACCTCATGTGGGGTTGTAAGTGTGCATTCTGGGAGCCTCTCGACCATCCAAGATTCAAGTGATCCCTAGATGGAGAAGCTTGTGATGTCTGGGAAGTGTGTGCTAACAGGAAGGACAATTGGATCTTGGATGACAGGTCTGGGGCCAAAGGTGAACATGCAGATGAGATGGATGCCGAGGCGAATGAGTTAAGCAAGTGGTTCATCTAAAAGATCATCTATATCTGTAACCAGATTTGTGAATCTCTTTAACATTAAACAACGTAGAAGTTTTAAGCTACCTTCCTAGAAGATGGAGAAAAAAATTCTAAGAAATATACAATTCGTCTAAATAGTCACTACCTAACTGTGAGTGACAGTATTTAGAAATAACGTCTCAGCTTTCTGTGATCAGAAGACACTCGCATGTTCACTGGCTGGAGTGACTCATAGGTGGCTAAATTTCCCTGTTTAAATCTCTTCTTAAAAAAGATAATAACAAAACCAGATTTATAGATTCATAAATCTTCCCCTCTAAGATCCAGGGATACTTATTTACTTAAAGGTTCAAAAATTTTAAGAAATATAAAAATTGAACATGTAAGAAATCTGAGCAGTTGCTGAAGAAATGCTAATGCCACAGATAATATGTATTAAAGATCAGTATGAAAATGAGTAAGGACAAAGCAGACAAAGAACCCTGAAGAAGAAAGATAATTGGAAATATAAAAAGTATCAAGAGTCTGGCCAGAGCAAATAGAAACACGGGCTGTGGTAACCAGTGAGCCATAATCACATAGAAAGGATAACACAGGAAAGGTGAGCTTTCAATGCAAATGAGGAGGGGTGAGAGTTAAACACATCAAATAAATATGTCAAGCATGGTCATGATGATGTGGGAGAGGCTGCTGGATGTCCCCCAATATCTGTTTTTCCCTTTAATAATAGGGCCCATGATTTTTAGCCAGGCACGTGGTTGCCTTGAAGATACTTCCCAATCCCTGTTGCCCTAGTTAGAGATGTGTACCGGGCTGTGGCCAGTGGATACACGTAGAAGTGATGTGTTCAACTTTAAGATTGTATCTTTAAAGAGAAAGGGTGAGCTTTGCTTCCAATTGGCTGGAATGTAGATGTGGTTAGTCAGTCAGCTTGGGCCATGAGGATAAATGCAATGTCATAGAAATGATGGAGTAACAAGGTAGAAACTTGATATCATGTTCCTGTCACCATGACACCCCTATACCAGCTCTAGACTGCTTATACCCTATGACTTCTGTCTTGTTTAAACCTCTATTTGTTAGTTTGTTTGTTCGTTCATTTATTTTTTGAGACAGGGTCTTGCTGTGTCGCCCAAACTGGAGTGGAGTGGTGTGATCTTGGGTCACTGCAACCTCCGCCCCCTGGGTTCAAGCAATTCTTGTGCCTCAGCTTCCTGAGTAGCTGGGATTACAGGTGTGTGCCACCACAGCCAGCTAAATTTTTGTACTTTTGGTAGAGACAGGGTTTTGCTATGTTGGCCAGGCTGGTCCTGAACTCCTGGCCTCAAGATTCACCTGCCTTGGCCTCCCAAAGTGCTGGGATTACAGGAGTGAGCCACCATGTCCTGCCTTAAAGACACTATTGTTGTGTTACAACAGCCAAGCCTATATCTTGATAGACAAAGGACACATATCAAGCGAATGCCTACAGAGAACATGATTGAGAGTACAGGTCATCGACAAGGCTGACAATATCAAGTGTCAGCAAGTATGTGGAGAAGCTGGAACCCTCAGCTAATGCTGGTGGGAATGTAAAATGGAACAGCCACAGTTTGGCAGTTTCTGAAAATTAAACACATACCTGCCATGTGACCCAGCAATTCCACTCCTCGGTATCTATCGAAGAGAAATGAGAACATGTCCACATAAAGACTTATGTGTGAATGTTCATAGCAGCATTATCCATAATAACCCAAACCCAGAAATAATCCAAATGACCATCAACTGGGGAATGGACATAAAAATCGTGATATATCTATAAAATGGAATACTACTCGGCAATAACAATGAGTGAGTTACAACAACATGGATGAGCCTCCAAAAAAAGAGATAAATAAAAAATCCAGACACGTAAGATGACTGCGTATGTATGATTACATTTATGTTAAATTTCTAGAAAAGACAAAACCATAGAGATAGGAAACAGATCAGTGGTTGCCTAAGATAGGCGGTGGTAGCAAGGAGTGACTGCACACAGACACAAGGGAATTATTTTGGATAATGGAAATGTCCTAAATATTTCCACTGTGCTGATATTCGCACAGTTGTCTACACTGACTGAGTCCCATTGAACCGGTTGCTTAAAATAGATGAATTTTGTGTCATGTAAATTATACCTCAATAAAGCTGATAAAAAGTAGAGTATAGGTGAGCTACTGGTACTGAAATAAAATCACCACTAGTTTTTAGTCATGGGCACTGCTACATTGTCTTCTCATGAAATTCTTATTGCATCAGAGAACAAGATGAATTGTGAAATATTATGAATGAATGGAAAACATGATAGTATTTGAGTTATGGAATCTACCAGCGCAGCATATATTACACTGCCTACAGATGAGACAGGGAAAATGCTCTTGATTCATGTGGAATGACCTAGGTAACACATTTTTTGTTTTAGAATAGTTTGAGGCTTATGGTCTGATATCTTTATGATGAATGTGGTAGATAGTCTTCAAAAATGGCCCGTGATGAACTATGCCTCCCAGTATTTATGCCCTTTTGTAGCCTTTCTGCTGGCATTGTGACTTGCTTTTGACCAAGAGAATATTTCAGAAATGATGCCAAACACTTCTGAGATCACAAGAAGTATTGTAGTTTCTGCTTTGGTTTCTTGGGACAAAAACAGTAGCAGGGGATTGGGGTAGCTAGGTACTATGGAGGAAATCTGACTACGTGAGTCTTCCATACTGTGAGGAAGCCCAAGCTAACCACATGGGAGAGAAAGGGAAGGACAGAGAGATGGAGATTGAGTGAGAGCGATGAGTGGTGAGCTCCTAGCTGTTCCAGTTACCCCAGCCCAGGCTTTGCATATTTGAGAGAAGTCGTTTTGGACATCCAGCCCAGTTGAGCCTTCAGTTGACTCCAGCCCTTGCTGATGTCTGATGGCAGCCACATGAAAGAGCTCAGATGAGACCTACTCAGTGGAGACCGTGAATCCATAGATGCATGTTTGAAGGCACTACCTTTGGGGTGGTTTGTTACACAGCAGTAAATAACCCAAAAGGAAGTAAGTAAGGAAAGACTATAGAAATTACATTTGATTTCTTCAATTTGAAATGCAATAAATTTAGTAGCTAGACTAAGGTACTTTAATAAAATCATCTTAATTGTTAGCCACTTTGTTTTTTAATCTTTGTGTAACACAGACTTTTTCCTTTTTTAATAATAATTTTCAGAGACTGCAGACAGAGTGGCATTGTGACAAAGGTGTTTCAGGTAGGCTATGAACCACCGAATGTAGTCTCTCCTGAAGACAATGTTGAAAATGTTCTCAAAGATTCTTCAAGGCAGGCAAGTAATGGAAGTATCATCCATTCAGATTGTCATTGTATTTTGGTTCCTTCTTTCTCAGTGAGCAGATCTTGCCTTTTATTACCTTACCTCTGCTGATAGTCAGGTCCTTATAATTGAAGTCATTATCAACCATTGCAAAGCATCTTCACTGATTTCTCAGCCTTTCGTCAGTCTCCTATCTACCCTGAAGATGAGAATACCTGCTGAGCACTGGGGTCCATGCTCCAGTGTCTTCAGTGGCTCTCTCTTACCTACTGAAAAAACCAGAAACCTTTAGCCTTCCATCCAAGTCATCAGTTTCTGCCCTTGGTCGGCCTTTCCTGCTTTGTCTGTGAACCCTCTACATATACTCCAACGAAACTGAACTGTGTATGCTATGCCCTATCACTGCTATCCTGGCACCCAGGCCTTCTTTTATAAACTGCTTTGAGCATGTGATTACTTTGTTCCTTGTTTATCTTGCCTATGCATTATAAGCTCCAAGGTGGCATGATTGCTATACTCATTGCCTTGCACAGGGGCAGGCAGGAGAGGGTAGTGATTGTGTATCTGTTGAATAGATGCTTTGGGTAAGTAGAAGTCCTCAGTGGGCATAGAATTCTTTTATGTTGAAATCTTTATTCCCAAATATCTGCAAAGCCTCCCCACTGTGAAGAGTCAATTAGATCTATCTGAGAAGGATGTGTGAAGCTTCAGGCACTGGGTGTGAGTATCAATGAGAAAGATTCAAGGAGCTAAACCAGAGGATGGGCTAGTCTACAGTATGGCGGCCAACCCAGAGGTCTTGGTCACAGGGATGTTGTTGGGATTGACAGAGGAAGTTTATAGGGGTTTCGCTTAAGCTTGACCTTAGGCTAGAGAGGAGGTTGTAGGACCAAAGCAGTGGATGCAGGCATGGGTAGGGCTCAAGTGTGATCAAGGCAAGGATCTACACTGGGCAGGGGCCACCTGTGGGGGCTGAGCCCACATATATCAGCAGGTGCTTAGGCTTGAATCAGGTGTGAGGGACCAAGTCCATGGAGAAAGTCCAGAGGGAAGAGTGTTTAAGGACTGTGTGTGCGCAGGTCGTGTACAGAAGTCTGATTTTGGTCTGACCCTACCCTGCCTTTGCCACTCTGGACTTGGTGGTCCCTCTGTTGTTACCCAGACTCCTACAGTTGTAGCATCCTGCCTGCATGTGCTGCTCCCTGCCTCCTGCCTTGGCCGCTTCACCTGGTGAGGCCTACATCCAGACGTGCTGCCAACTGAGCAGCCCAGCCCAGATACAAAGCTGCATGTTTCCAGAATAAAGTGAAACAGGGATTACTTCATGAAAACAACCGTAAACTCTTTCAAATAAGAAATGCACACCATGACCCTGTCTCTATCGTGCAGCTTTAATTCTCACATGGGAATAACCAAGTAAGTGATATGCAATCTCTTCATTCCTAGGAATTCAAAAATGGATTAGTTGGATCAAAACTAAAGAAGAAATATCAGAACTCTGAAAATCAACGCAGCTGGAATGTTAACCTCAGAAAGTTTCCAGGTATGTTGTGACAGAACAAAAACAAGGTTTTGTATTCTGAACCCACCAGAGAGATTCATGGCATGTTCATTGCATGTTTTCTTGTCTGGAGAAGTGTTGGAATAAGAAACACTGGGGCAGGGAAGTATGCTGTACTTCGAGTTTTTATACTGTCCTTGCTAACAGCTTAAGATCATGAAGGAGGATCAAGCAGTCCAACCAAGTCAGATTTCTTGACCCATCGCAGGGAGCCATGGGGGCATCTCACCAAACAGAGGAAACACTGGAGTTGTAGAGTTTGGGGGAAGAGTGGAGTTTGGGTGAAATATAAATGAAAGCAGAGTTTTGATAGGCTCAAAGCGAAGCTGGTCTGGGTGTGAAGGGATCAGCATCAGGTATCGACTGGGAAGGGGACCCAGGGTTCTGTTGCCTTGGAAATTACAAAGATACACGGGGAATACTGTGTTCAGAAATGATTATCTTTGCACCAGGGTTGGACATGGAGGCTGCTTCTCTATGGCAAAGTGGCCTAGATTCCTCAGGCAAGAGTTAGATGTTTCGTTCTTACTGAGAATTTCAAACAGCGAAGTTTCTGATAATCTGTGATTTTAGAGAACAGGGTTTCTCAGTGAGTAAGAAAGACTAGTCATGCAAAGAGGGGGCTGTTAACGACATATTACAGCTGCAGTGTGTTCTTGGGAGATATAATATTTCCTGCTAACTTTGCAACTGGATTGATCTGTCTGTTTTCCAAGCCTGACGTGGACTATTGTAGAGTGCAGCGGGGAAGACGATCTTCTCAGTCTGGGCTTGTTTTTTCTTTCTCACTTCTAATACATTGAGTGTGTGGCGGGAGCTCTTTACATCATTATTACTTCTAGGAAAGCAATGTGGTAACAGTGGTTCTTTATTAAAAGGTTTCCCACTGTGAAGACATCTTTGCATGATTATGTATAATTACAGATGCTCAAAGAGTAATGTTTTTAATATCATTGTAGACCTCCAGGTAGGTGAAAGAACTGACCCTAAAACTTTGAAAGATCTTCGCTTTTCAGAGAGTCCACTGGAAATCCCAGCTCACAGTGGAGGATCAGGTTCTAGACCACCCACCCGCCAGTCCCAGGTAACTTCTAAGGACAATCTTTAGGGTACCCAAATACCTCTTATATTTTTAATGCTTCCCATGAAATACTTTCAGACTGCACCTCCCCCTCTTTTGACCATGTGCTAGGCACTGTTATAGTGCTGGGAATACTGTGTTTGACAAGAAAAGTCCCTCTATTCATGGAGCTTACCTTTTATTGGGCTTGGGAGCAGACAGATAATAAATAAGTAAATAAACAGAAAATTTAAAATGGTGGTAAGTGTCATGAAGAAGATAAAATGGTAATGAGATACAGCAGTGGTTCTCAGAGGCGATCCCCAGACCTGCAGCATCAGCATCACATGGGAACTTATTTGAAATCCACATTCTCAGGCCTGATTAGCAAAGTGGGAGATGAGGCAGAAGGTGGCTGGGGCCAGAGTGTCTAGAGCTGTGGTTCTCAAACATAGCTGCACCTTAGAATCACCTGAGGAGGTTCAAACCAATCCCCAAGGTTTAGCGTCAGAAATTCTGATTTAATTGGTCTGAAGTGGAGTTTGAGCATCATTTAAAAAAAAAAAAAAAAAAACCCTAAATGATTCTAATGGTCAGGCATGGTTGAGAGTCATAGACACTAGTCTGACCGTAAGAAGTGTGAATTATATTCTAATTGTAAAGGGAATCTGTTTGGCAGACAAGACACAGTCCCATTTACATTTAAAAGTTTTCCCTTGGCCGGGCGCGGTGGCTCAAGCCTGTAATCCCAGCACTTTGGGAGGCCGAGATGGGCGGATCACGAGGTCAGGAGATCGAGACCATCCTGGCTAACACGGTGAAACCCCGTCTCTACTAAAAACAAAAACTAGCCGGGCGAAGTGGCAGGCGCCTGTGGTCCCAGCTACTCGGGAGGCTGAGGCAGGAGAATGGCGTAAACCCAGGAGGCGGAGCTTGCAGTGAGCTGAGATCCGGCCACTGCACTCCAGCCTGGGCGACAGAGCCAGACTCAGTCTCAAAAAAAAAAAAAAAAGAAGTTTTCTCTTTGGCCACAGTATGGAGATTAGGCCATGGAAGAGGAAAGAGAGAACATTATTTAGGGGGCTTTTGTTCAGGTGAGAAATGCTGGTGGCTTGGACCAAGGTTGTAGAGGTAGTCAGGATAGGAGGTAGGCTTGGCTGAGGGATCCAATAGCTGGAAGGGAAGGTGAGGAGCCAAGGATGCCTCTCAGGGTTTGTCCTGAGTATCTGGAGATGATGGTGCCATTGACAAAGCTGGAAAAGATGAGAGAGGAGCAGGTGTCCAAGGACACATTAGACATCCAAATAGGGTGTTGAGTAGACTGTTGGATATGCAAGTTCACACTCAGGAAAGGTCAGGGCTGGAGATATGTACTTAGAAATATGGAAATATTCAATATGTTGATGGTATTTGAAGCTTAGGTCTGAATGAGATCACTAGTCAAGGCTGTACAGAAAATGAAGGGAAGGAAAATGAAGAAAGTCCTAAACTTAGAGGTTGAGCAGGGGAGGAGGAGCCTGAAAGTAGAAAGAAAACCAAAAAAATATGTTGCCATGGAGACCAAGAAATGGAAGAATTTCAAGGAGAAGTTCCTCTATGTCATATGTTACTGCAGGTTCTAATTAGATAGAGACAGACAATTGGAAATTCCCATTGGCTTTGCCAAGATAGAGGTGACTTATGACCTTAATAAAAGGCATATCAGCTGGGTGCGGTGGCTCACACCTGTAATCCCAGCACTTTGGGAGGCCGAGGTGGGCGGATCATGAGGTCAGGAGTTCAAGACCAGCCTGGCCAATATGGTGAAACCCTGTCTCTACTAAAAGTACAAAAATTAGCCGGGCCTAGTGTTGCATACCTGTAGTCCCAGTTACTCAGGAGGCTGAGGCAGAAGAATCGCTTGAACCAGGGAGGCAGAGGTTGCAGTGAGCCAAGATCGTGCCATTGCACTCCAGCCTTGGCAACAAAGTGAGACTTCATCTAAAAAATAAATAAATAAGTAAATAAACGGCATATCAATGCATTCTTACTACTATAACACAAGAAAGATGCTCTTACACTAGTTGCCTACTATTATAGTGCTTTGATTTTTCAATGTTTATAAAATCCAATTTGGACTTTTGGCAGCTAAGGGCAACCCAGGAGCCCTTGTTCTCTTCCTCCTATTTGAGTGCCAAGTTTAATGTACCTGGAGTCACATTTTCTGTGTAACCACAACTGCTTCTTGTGTGCCCATGATTCCATGGCTGCTCACACTTACCATCAAGTATAAAGGAGGCAAAAAGCATGGTTTCCAAACCCATTTGCATATCACAGTCACCCAGGGGAAACTTTAAATATGTATCAAGTCCCAGCTATGCTCCCTGCAGTCCTTCTAGATAGTCAGAGTCCATAAGCCTGGGATGGAGTCCACAGATGACTTTGCTGATCAGCCCACACTGAGAATCACTGGCCTAGAAGACCAGTTATCCCAAGGTCAAGCTCTTTCCTTCACTTCTAGACTCTAAGGCCAAGGTGTAACTCAGCCTGACCTCCTAGGTTCTTTCATATGCCCATTCACTATATTTTTTGGAGAACCACAAAGCCCAGGCCAGAGGACCAGACCTGGGAAGGCCTGCTTGCAAGGCCCACTAAACAAAAGGGCAGCCCCTCTGCATGGAAGATTGCCTCTCCCAATCTTCTGGAAAGAAGGGTTCTCTGGTTATCAGATGGGCTGATGAGCACACTCAGAATCCGTGGGCAGTGCACCCTGGCATGACCCAAATAAGAACACTGCTTCTGAGGTAAAACATACCATTTTGAAGAATGAATGACCGTATATGATAAAACACAGGAGCTCTTTTAGAAAAGCAGTCTCATGTGGCCATAAATATTTGTAATGTGCCTAGAAATATTTTCTTTGTGCATAAATATTTGGATTACCTTGCCCACTTAGTTGTTTGAGTTGTTTACAAGGGAAAGATAAAATAATATTTTAAGATTCCAAAATTTAGAATCCCCAGAAACTAGGAACAGCAGGACAAAGACAAAGTTTAGGGAATTTGACCAGAGTTCAGAAAGCCAGGAAGGCCAGGAGAAGACCACAAAACTGTTTTCTTCCACTCTTTTCCTTCATATTGGTAAGAGTCTTCTCAGTATTTCAGCTGAATCCCATCTGAAGCATACTTTAGCATATATCCGAATTAATGACACTGGTGGGTATCACCACATTTCAACAACCCCAGGGAGACAAGAGGTCTCTGAGCTCAGCGTCTGGCCTGAGGGAACCTGCAGGGGTCAGGCAGCAGAGTAAACGCATGATGCAGCCTGGGTAGAGGATAAATGACAGCTGACACCTGGCCATAGTGTAGGAGCATGAGAGCTGCAGGTTCTCTGACAATGTGAAGTGCCCCAGCCAGTTAAAGGAATCACTTTACCCAGCCTCAGGCAACCATTAGCAAGAAGGACTGAAGGCTCAGTGTCGCTACATCCAATGAATTTGCATGAGAAGCCAGAAACCTACATCTTTATGTGTAATAACATAATTTAAAGTTTTGACAATTAGTTCAAATTTTGAAACACTATGGGAGCCATTTGAAACTCAATGGCAGACCAAATTTGGCTAATAGACCACCACTTTGAGACTCAGGGTCTAGGTCATGTTACGTTTTTATTTATTTCTTTTTCTTTTTGTAGCGATGGGGATTTACTATGTTGCCCAGACTGTTTTTGAACTCCTGGCCTCAAGTGATCCTCCTGCCTCAGCCTCCCAAAGTATTGGGATTACAAACATGAGCCACTACACCCAGCCTAGGCCATGTTAGATGTGGCACAGAAGCAATGAGAAACCTCTGACTGCTCCCCATTGCCTACAGGATAAAGCCTAAAGTCTTAAGTTCAGTCCTTTGAGTTTCCTAGAGATATAATTTTTGAGAAAAATAGAGATTAAAGTTTATTTATTTATTTGTTTGAGATGGAGTTTCACTCTATTGCCCAGGCTAGAGTGCCGTGGTGTAAGCTTGGCTCACCGCAACCTCTGCCTTCCGGGTTCAAGCGATTCTCCTGCCTCAACCTCCTGAGTATCTGGGATTACAGGCATGCGCCACCACGCCCAGCTAATTTTGTGTTTTTAGTGGAGATGGGGTTTCTCCATGTTGGTCAGGCTGGTCTCAAACTCCTGACCTCAGTTGATCTGCCTGCCTCTGCCTCCCAAAGTGCCGGGATTACAGGCGTGAGGCCGTGCGCCTGGCAGAGTTTATTTACTTATTTATTTTTCCTTTTTTTGTATGTGTGTGTGTGACAGGGTCTCACTCTCACTCAGGCTGGAGTGCAATGGTGTAATCTTGGCTCACCACAACTTCTGCCTCCTGGGTTCAAGCGATTCTCCTGCTTCAGCCTCCCTAGTAGCTGGGATTACAGGCACCCGCCACCACACCCGTCTAATTTTTTTTTTTTTTTTTGTATTTTTAGTAGAGATAGGGTTTTGCCATGTTGGCCAGCCTGGGATACTAAAGTTTTTAAATCCTAAAATCTGGTCTGATGGAAAATTCAGGTATCTTTCATTGTAAACTCTCATTTTTAATGAAATATACATATATGATTGTGAATAGCACTTTAATTTAGAAATGTTAGATACTAGAGTAATAATTACATTACTCCTCATAATGATTTTTTATTTTTATAACTTTTTGTTTTTATAGATTTAGGGGATGGAGGTTTGTTACATGTATTGTGTAATGGTGAGGTCTGGGCTTCTAGGGTCCCCTTCACCTGAATAATGAACACTGCACACAATAGGTAATTTTTCAGCCCTCGCCTTTTCCCACCCTTCCCACTTTTAGAGTCTATAGTGTCTACTATTCCTCTTTGTATGTCTATGTGTATTCCCCCATAATGATTTTTAATGGAATTTTACTATACCATAGTCTTTACCATGTTATTTTGACTATATGACTCTCTCTATATAACTATATTCTTAATTTTAGTCTCCCGGTTTTGCACACATAAGTGGCCTGAAGTGTTTGACAAGCACGGAGATAATGAGAATTCAAAGGGAGACAGACTTTCTCAAGTAAGTATCACATTCTCTTTACTCTGTCTTAAATTCTACGAAGGTACATCATGGTCAAAGAGAATTTAAAGGTAGGACATTTTTGCCCACCTCCAGCTTTTTTTTTTTTTTTGAGACGGAGTCTTGCTCTGTCGCCCAGGCTGGAGTGCAGTGGTGCAATCTCGGCTCACTGCAATCTCTGCCCCCCAGGTTCAGGCGATTCTCCTGCTCCAGCCTCCCAAGTAGCTGAGATTACAGGCGTGTGCCACCACGCCCAGCTAATTTTTGTATTTTAAGTAGGGACGGGGTTTCACCATGTTGGCCAGGGTGGTCTTGATCTCTTGACCTCGTGATCTGCCCACCTCGGCCTCCCAAAGTGCTGGGATTGCAGGTGTGAGCCACCGCACCCGGCCCCAACTTTTTAAATTAAATATTTACAGTCTATTAAAAAGTATAATTGACATACAATAAACTGCATATGTATTTAGAGTTCGTTTGACTCTGTATGTATGTATGTAACCATGACACTATCACAATCAAGAAAATGAATAAGTTCATCCCTGCCAAAAATTTCCTACATTGTACACTATTTGGTAACCCCTTCCTTTCAGCCCCGCATCACAGGCAATTATCGATCTGCTTCTTGTCACTATAGCTTAACTTGCATGTGATTCCATATGTCAACGACATGATTTAGTCTCTACTCTTTTCTTGGGGGGTTTCTTTCACTCAGCATAACTATTTTGAGATTCATCCATGTTGTTCCTTGTAACAAACATCCATTTCTCTTTATTGCTGAAAAAGTTCATTTTATGGATATACTACAGTTTGTTCATCCGTTCACTTATTGATGGGAATTTTGAGCTATTACAGATAAAGTTGCTATGAACGTTTGTACAAAAGTTATTGTATACACAAAAGTGAGCCAGTCTCATACCTAGTGTCTAAATAAATAAATAAATTGATAAAAATTAACAAGTACAATAAAATAATTTTTAAAACCCCAAAGTCATTATATATACACGTTTTCATTTCCCTTGGGGCAAATACCTTGAAGAGGAATATGATCAGTACATTTTTTTTAAGAAACTGCCAAACTGCTTTTCGAAGTGATTGTTCCATTTTACATTCTCACCAGCAGTGGATGAGAATTCTCTGTATCCTTACTAACTTTTATTTTTATTTTGGTCATTTTAATGAGATTATAACAGTATCTTATTGTGGTTTTTATTTGCATTTCCCTAGTGACTAATGATGTTGAGCCTCTTTGCATGTGCTTATTTCCATCCATGCGTCTTCTTTGGTAAAGTGTCTGTTCAAACATTTTGCCTTTAAAAAAAATGCATTATAGGCCAGGCACAGTGGCTCACACCTGTAATCCCAGCACTTTGGGAGGCTGAGGCAGGTGGATCACCTGAGGTCAGGAGTTCAAGACCAGCCTGGCCAACATGGTGAAACCCTGTCTCTACTAAAAATACAAAAAATTAGTTGTGCATGGTGGTGGGCACCTGTAATCCCAGCTACTTGGGAGGCTGAGGCAGGAGAATTGCTTGAACCCGGGAGGTGAAGGTTGCAGTGAGCCAAGATCATGCCACTGCACTCCAGCCTGGGTGACAGAGCAAGACTCTGTCTCAAAAAAACAAAACAAAACAAAACAAAACAAAAATTAAAAATGTGTTATATATCTTCTTCTTATAGAGTTTTTTTTTTAAAGGATAGCTATTTGTCCTGATATAGAGTTGTACATGTTCTCCTTTGTTAGACATTTCATGGGTACATTTTTGCAAATATTTTCTCCCAGTCTTTGGCTTTTCATTTTCTTAACAGTGTTTTCAAAGAGCTAAAGTTTTTAAAATTTTGATGAAGTCCAATTTATTTGCTTTTCTTTTACATTTTATTTTTAGTTTGTCATACTTCAGAAATCTTTCCCAAACCCAAGATGTATTCTATTCACTCAGATTTCCTCCTATGTTCTCTTCTAGAAGTTTTTCAGTTTCATCTCTTATACTTAGGTATACGATCCATTTTTAATTAATTTTTTCATATGGCATAAGGTAAGGATTGAGGTTCATATTTTTACATATGAATATATAATTATTCCAGTACAAATTTTTGAAAAAATTATCTTTTCTCATTGATTACTTTTGGAATATTTGAGCATTAATTGATGGTATTTGTGTGGATCTAGTCGAGGACTTTGTATTCTATTCCATCAATGTTTCTCTATATTTATTCACTACCGTACTGCCTTGATTATTGCAACTTTATAATAAGTTTCAAAACCAAGTAAGTTGTAAATTCCTCAGCTTAGTTGCTCCTATCAAAGGTATTTTGGCTATTCTAGGTCCTTTACCTTTTCAGATTTAAAAATCAGCTTCTCAGCTTTTACAAAATACCTGCTGTGGTTTTAATTGAGATTGTATTGAATCTATATATCAATTTAGGGAATATTGACATATTAACAATATTGAGCTTTACAATCCATAAAGATACTATATCTCACCATTTATTTAGGTCTTCTTTAATTTCTTTCATTAATGTTTGTAGTTTTCAGTTCACAAGCTTTACACATCTTTTTTCAAGTTTATCCTGTTGTAAATGCTTTTAAAATTTCACTTTCTCACAAAAAGATAAATACTGCATGATTCCACTTAAAGGAAGTATCTAAAGTAATGAAACTCACAGAAAGTAGAATGGTACTTGCCAGGGGCGGATGGTAGGAGGAAACAGGCAGTTGTTGGATTAGTATAGAGTTACATTCATGCAAGGTGAAAAAGTTCCAGAGATCTTTTTACGACAATGTGTATGTAGTTAACAATACTGTAATGTACAATTAAAAACTGTTGAGAGGAATTTATATTATATATTGTAACATTATAGATACTTTTTTGCTACAATAAAACATTTCAATTTCTGATTATTCATTACTAAAATATGAAACACAATTGATTTTTGTTTAGTGGCCTTATATCTTCAAGTCTTATGAAATTCACTTATTCCACTAGCTTTTTATAGATTCCATAGGATGATCTCTGGAGGAGACTGGGCAGCCTGCAAATGAAGAGTTACCTTTCTTCCTTTCCAATTTGGGTCCCTTTTCCTTCTTTTTCTTGACTTGTTGCCTTGGCTACAATTTTGAATGTAATAGTTTCGAATAGAAATGGTGAAAGTAGACACCCTTGTCTTACTCTTCGTTAAAATTAGTTTTATTTAAACATTTTTTTTGTAGAGGTGGGGATCTCACTGTGTTGCCCAGGCTAGTCTTGAACTCTTATCTTGAAGTGATACCCCTACCTCAGCCTCCCACAGCGCTGGGATTACAGGCATGAGCCACTGCACATGGGCCCTTGTCTTATTTTTGACCCCAGTGGGACAGCATTTATCTTTCAGCATTACATATGGTATCAGCTATAGGTTTTCCATTGATGAGTTTTGTCAGGTTGAGGACATTTTCTTTTTCTTTTTTTGAGATGGAGTCTTGCTCTATTGCCTGGGCTGGAGTGCAGTAGCACAATCTTGGCTCACTGCAACCTCCACCTCCCAGGTTCAAGTGTTTCTCCTCCCTCAGCCTCCCAAAAGCTGGGACTAGAGGCATGCGCCACCACGTGTGGCAAATTTTGGGTGTTTTTTTGTTTTTTTTTTTTAAGTAGAGACGGGGTTTCACCATGTTGGCCAGGCTGGTCTCGAACTTCTGACCTCAGGTGATCCACCCGCCTCAGCCTCCCAAAGTGGTGGGATTATAGGGGTGAGCTATCACGCCCAGCCATGTTTTTTTTTTAATTTTTAATTCTTACTTTATTTTTTTTGAGACAGACTGGCTCTGTCGCCCGGGCTGGAGTGCAGCGGCCAGATCTCAGCTCACTGCAAGCTCTGCCTCCCGGGTTTACGCCATTCTCCTGCCTCAGCCTCCGGAGTAGCTGGGACTACAGGCGCCCACCACCTCGCCCGGCTAGTGTTTTTGTATTTTTTAGTAGAGACGGGGTTTCACCGTGTTAGCCAGGATGGTCTCGATCTCCTGACCTCGTGATCCGCCCGTCTCGGCCTCCCAAAGTGCTGGGATTACAGGCGTGAGCCACCGCGCCCGGCCGAGAGTTTCTTCTTTAAAATCAGGAATAGATGTTAGATTTTGTCCAAAGCATTTTTTCTATTTATTGAGAGGATAATTTAGGTTTTTTGTTTTTTTTTTTTTTTTTTTTTTTTTTTTTTTTTTCTGTTCATGCGATGAATTACAATGATTGGTTTTCAAATGTTAAATCATCCTTACATTCCCAAAATATATCCACTTGAAGTGTCATCTATTTTATATAATGTTGAATTTGATTTGCTAAAAGGGTTTAAAGAATTTTTTTGCCAGCTTTTGCATAAGGGATGTTGGGGGATTTTCTTTTCTTGTTAAATGTCTTTGTCTGGTTTTAGTATTGGCATAATTCTAGATTCACAGAGTAAGTTGGGAAGTATTCTCACTCCTTCGACTTCTGAAAAAGTTTATGTGAAATTGGTGTTATTTCTTCCTTACATTTTACACAAGTGAAATGATTAGATCTGGATTGTTCCTTCAGGAAGATTTTTTTTTTTTCAGGAAGTTTTTTTTTTTTTTCTTTAGAGACGGAGACTTGCTCTGTCTCCAGGCTGGAGTGCAGTGGCGCAATCTTGGCTCACTGCAACCTCCACCTCCCGAATTCAAGCAATTCTCCTACCTCAGCCTCCCAAGTAGGCATGCACCACCACGCCCAGCTAATTTTTTTGTATTTTATTAGAGACGGGGTTTCACCATGTTGACTAGGATGGTTTCGATCTCCTGACCTCGTGATCCGCCCGCCTCAGCCTCCCAAAGTGCTGGGATTACAGGCGTGAGCCACCATGACCGGCTCAGGGAGATTTTTAACTACATGTTAGATTTCTTTAATAGATATACATTTATATTTATATTTATTTATATTTATATTTATTAATATTTCTTTTGGAGTAAATTTTAGGTTTCATTTGTTTTGTTTTTAGTTTCTTTAACGGGAACATGAAGTTACTGATTTGAAGCCTTTCTTCTTTTCTAGCATAGGCGTTTAGAACTATACATTTCCCCCAAATACTGTTTTACTTGCAGTCTCGGAATTTTGATATACTGTGTTTTCATTTTCATTCAATTCAAACAGTTTCTAATTATCCTTGTTATTTTGTGGGGAGGACAATGAGTTAGTTAGAAGTGTTTAATCTCCAAATACTGGAGGATTTTCCTTGTATCTTTTGGGCCTGTCTGCCTTCTTTCTTTTCCTTCTTTCCTGCACTCCCGCCCTCTCTCCCTTCCTTCCTTCCTTTCCTTCTTTCTTCTTTCTTTCTTTCTTAGGGTCTTACTCTGTCACCCAGGCGGAAGTGCAGAGGCCCAATCATAGCTCACTGCAGCCTCAAACTCCTGGGTTCATTCATCCTCCTGCCTCAGCCTCAGCGCAGTCCCTACAGCTGGGACTATAGGCATGTGCCACTACACCGGCTAATTAAAAAACATTTTTTTTTTTTTTTGGCGGGGCTGGGCGTGGTGGCTCATACCTGTAATCCCAGCACTTTGGGAAGCCGAGATGGGAGGATCACTTGAGGCCAGGAGTTTGAGACCAGCCTGGCCAACATGGCAAAATCCTGTCTCTACTAAAAATATACACACAGAAAAAAAAATTAGGCATGGTGGTGCACTCCTGTAATCCCAGCTACCCGGGAGGCTGAGACACAATAATACCTTGAAACCAGGAGGTGGAGGCTGCTATGAGCCGAGATCATGCCACTGCACTCCAGTCTGGGCGACAGACCAAGACTCTGTCTCAAAACAAAACAAAAACCTTACTTTTTTTTTTTTTTGATGGGGGTGGGGGGGAGTTCTCACAAATTTGCCCAGGCTGATCTTGAACTCCTGGCCTCAAGTGATCCTCCCACCTCAGTCTCGCAAATTGTTGGGATTACAGGTATGAGCCAGTGTGCCTGGCCTGGTCCTTATGTCATATTTATTTACTTTTGGTCAGAAAAGATACATGATTTGATTGGTAAATATTCTATGTGCACTTTAAAAGAATGTGTATTCTGCCAGAATGAGTGTACTGTAAATATCAATTAGGTTAAGTTAGTTGATGGTATTGTTTAAGTCTTCTCTATCTTTACTGATTTTCTCTTTATCATGTAATCAATTATTGAAGAAGTAATATTGAAATATATGACTATAATTATGAATTTGCCTATTTATTCCTGCATTTCATTTCTATCAGTTTTTCTTCATGTACTTTGACACTCTGCTATTAAGTACGTAAACATTTTGGATTCTTATGTCCTCTTGCTGAGTTGACCCTTTTATCATTATGAAATAAACCTCTTTAACTCTGGTAATATTCTTTGCTCAGAAACCTACTTGTTCTGATGTTAATGTTGTCACTCCTGCTTTCTTTTGATGTGTGTGTACCTCCCTTTATTGAATCTATTTATGTCTCTATTTAAAGTTGGTTTCTTTTGAGCAGCATAATTAGGTCTAGCTTTTTTAAAAAAACGTACCTGACAACTCCTATGTTCTAATTGGAGTATTTAGAGTATATGTAGAGTATTCTAACTGATACCTCAGTAAATATGAATTTTTTTCCACTTTGGCTGGTGTAAGCATGAGCTTCCCAGCCCTGTGTGGATCCTGAAGATTGTTTTCTCTGTTCCCCTTTGGTGTTTACTTTCTAACCTTGAGTGGTTTCTTCCATCACATGCACTTATCAGTATACCCAGGTAAAGACTTGAGGGTGACCCTCTGCAAAATTCTGAAGCTCTACCTGCAGCTCTTCTCTGGTATTCTTTCCTAAAAGCTCCAGTTACCTTGACCTTCTGAGATCCCAGCTCTATGCCCTCAATTCAAATCAGAGGAATGGGATAGTCAGATTACACTTCATGAGCTTTGGGTGTAGAAAAGAGGGAACTGTTGCTGCCCTGGTGGGTGGGCCCATGCTGGAGACATGGAGAAAACTTGGTGTCATGGTACAGTAATGAAGGACTACATAGGATAAGAGTGTGGGAATGAGCTCAGCTTCAACGTGGAGACCAGTGCGGGCAACCAGGCAGTCCAGTGCACAGTATCCAAGCCTTCTAGTTGCTGAGGAGCTGTTCAGATCGATAGGTTACAGGATCAGGAGCCAACTTGTCTGGAAAGGCATGGTAGTAGCAGGAAAGGAATTAGGGCAGCCGAATTCCAAGAATGCTCTCACTTTGGCAGATAGCCAGAACCCATTTAGATGAGTGGGAGCTAAATGATGGGTCCAGCTGAGCTGCCTAAGAAATGGGGGGAGATGCTGCTGGGGCAGGGCCTGAGGACTCTAAGCTAAAGTGGGAAAAGAGAAAGGATGGGTCTGATGCACGAGCAAGAAGGCCTGTCCCTCAGACTGGGCTCAATGGCAGAAAGTCAGAGAAGCATAATGTAAAAATTGCTGGAATACCCAGGGCTCACCCTCATACACATCAAATCCAATGTGACAGGACAAGCCAGAGCCTGAGCAAGAAGTGGGGTCAAGGCTGCTGATAAACTTCTTGCTACAATCATGAAGTTAAATGGACTTGGCTTACGCGGAAAGGGCACCAGAGGGTCCAGCTGCAAGGCCACTATTCAAGTAAAATGACCTAGAGAAGTATTTCCTGTCTTGAACTTGTTCCATGGCCATTGAGAGCAGTCTGCTTTTGTTTTGTGTTTAAAAGTGTTTGAACGCTTTTAGATTTTTGTCAGTCTTCCTAATGTGGACCCAGCAGAACATGGCCAATCGGGAACCTGTTTTGTTGTAGGTGTGCCCACTGCCTTGCCCCCCGCCCATCAGATCCCTTTGCTCGCTTCTGTCAAGAATGTGGCTCTCCTGTCCCACCCATATTTGGCTGTCGTCTCCCACCCCCGGAAGGAGCTCAGGTGAGCAGCAGAATTATCAAAAACATCTTTCATTGGCCGATCTGATCTTTATTTGCAGTAGTAACACAGTGCTTGGTACACATGAACCGCACATATACATACTTGTTGAAGAATTACTGGCTGATTGAACTCTTACACGCTCCTACTTACGCATGGAAAAACTTATTTGCAATGCTGTGTCTTTTGTGTGGCCTGCCAGAGGCACGGGCTCAAAAAAGATTAGAATCTTATTGTTTTAATGAGGCATGCATGGATAAATAAATATTTCCTACTCATTTGATAGCTTTGCTCATATTCTGGGTATAATAAGGAAATATATTCTAGAAATAAATGAAGAGAAGTACCAATTACTTTGTGTCTCTATATATCTATCTATCCATAAGATGCATCATTCTGTCCAAAGAATCTATAGATTGATCTGTGTATTGAAATGTAAAAGCTTTGGCTGGTTAAGGGTAGATAATAATTGATATTATCTCACTACTAATTTTGTAGATAGTTAAAAAACATACTTGGCTTGCTAAAAATTAAAACCTTCACCAAAGTGTGTTCATCTTTTAAGCACTTGATATTTTGGGGATTATTTTTGGACTCGGAATAAAGGGATGAAAATGAAATGAAGAGATCTGTGATATTGAGTGAAAAATTACAATTTTTAAAAAGATAGTTACTAAGAAAAAGTTACTAGTTGAGTGAGTTCCAAGTCCAGAGTTTTAGATTCGAGTTATGCCTCAAGCAAAGGGTCAGGTATTAAATGGCTGTTTTAATATTCTTCTAATATATTGCTCAAGATTTTTGTAGAAGTTAATTTAATTTACTTCAGTGATACATTTTAAACTCCTTAAAGATTTTGCTAATATATAATGGCAGAATCTTAGGGAATGAGTGTGGGAGTCGATTTTAAATAAAAACAGACTCTAACACCAAATTGGGCCAGATTCATTGATATGTGTGCAGCTTGTAGAGATTCTGGACTAAATGTGTTAGTGAAACAGGACGATACAGAAAACAAAATATGAACAAGTCCCGTTGGTTTGATTTTTTCTCTGTTTATACTAATTGGTGTAATACCCAAAATTATTTTCTACTTGCCTGGAAAGGGATTTTCACAACTAATTTCATTTTTAAGGGAGGAAAGGTTATTGGTGATTATAAATGTTTAACATTATGAACTTTAAAACATCTAGATTGCCCCCCAATTATATTTCTATTAGTGCAACAATAGGCTATAATGTATAACAGCTTTAATTTAAACTAACAACTATTTATCGAGTACTTACTGTATCCTGCTCTGAGCTGCACTTCTAGGATTCAAAGGGGCAGGATCCTACTTAGACCCAAGACTCTCAGAGAGTCTCAGTAAAGAGATGCAGAGGTACGTGCTTTCTCGTCTCTTTGCCCTTGCGATGTGAGCTAACGTGTAGGACACGCTGAACCCTGTGAATTTCAGTGTTGTCCCGTGAGCGCTTCTCAGTGAGTTCCACTGGCACCCCAACCAGCTTCCCAGATAGTCTCTGGGGCATCCCAGTAGCAACTTTCCAGCAAGTTCCAGCAGCATCTCTGTATCTGACTTCCCAACATGTTCTGCCAGTTCCCTGGATGGGGAGTTCCTAATGAGTTTTCACTGGATCCCAGCGGGCGGCTTTTTCCTTGCGGGCTCTGATCTGTGTCACCTCAGTGAACTTCTCTGCCATCCAGTGGGTGACAACCACACTCAATTCGATGAAGTCTGATTTCAGCCTTGGGTATGGGGCAAAGTAAGTGCCTCTTCCAAATTTGTTCCTCCTTAGGCTGTCTGTCTCAGCCACAGAGGTAGGGGATCCTTCCTATGTTTGGAATTTCTGTATATGTAGAATCTGCTTTACCCATTAGTATTTAATCCCTGGCTACCAGTTAAAAATTATTTATATGAATTTTTCCTGTTCAAATTACTTGTGGTTTCTATCTCCTGGTTGGACTCTGATACCGAATTGGTACCGGGATTGGTCCCAGGAAATAAACCTGCAAATAGGATTTTGAAAGTGGTTTGGTCTTGTCCTTTGCTTGGGAACAGTGCCGAGTTCCTTGCCAATGGGAAATGGGACACTGGTGATCCATAGCATGCGGGGGCATCACAGTTAATCAGGCTGTCACCTGTGGCTGATTGTGATGAAGTGCCAGCTGAAGCAAGTGTCTTGAGTGGCCAAGTAGCTGCTTCACTTGACTCTATGGCAGTGACAATGACTTCAAAAACTGTGGCGGAGGATGTATTCTCCTGAGTCCATGGGAGCTTTCCAGAAAGAAAACGATAAGCTCAGGACCATTAAGTCATGGTGCAGGAACCAGAGAGCTCCTATGACAGCCCAAAATAATATATTTCTTGTAGCTCTGGGGTTATATTGATGAAAATCAAACAAAAATTAGATTGTATATGTTGTGGACTTATAATATCTGTTAAATTCACGTGATCACCAGATTTATTATGTGAAAGTTAGGCCATTGATTGGGAAAGGATGGGATCCTGAAGCTCAGAGATGGCAGGTGGGACCCAGATGAAACTGACAGTCTGGTACCCTTGTCACTCTGTGCCTCTTGGCCAATGGATGTAGTTTGTCCTTATGTCTGAGGATGCTCTTCTGTCTGAGGATACCAGCCTTCATTTGCTTGAAATGTTTGTGATAACCTCACCTGGGCAGATGGCTTGAAAGGGGATGTTTATTCTCCTCACAGGTGGTTGTGGGTGGTTTAAACCCATCACAACCACCTGTTGCATTCTAGGGACCCAACCCAGCATGCTACAGGAGGACAGGTGCACGCTGTGATCCAGGAGGAAATAACTTACACACACAAAGAAGAGGAAGATTGTACTAATATATAGTGGCAGAGTCTTGGGGAATAAGTGTGGGACTAGATTTTAAATGAAGACAATATGACTTGAAATTGGTATAAATTCATTGTGCATACCTTATAGAGATTCTGGGTTTAATGTGTTAGGTAATGCAGCTGTGGTGGCTGTAACAACTTGCCTGGTTGACTGCCTAAAGCTTGACCTCAGTAGTGGCCTGTGTTTAATGAGATTGGGATACCAGAACTTTCCCAGGTATATTAGTTTGCTAAGGTTGCCACAGCAAAACCCCACAGACTGTGTGGCTTAAATAACAGAAATTTATTTCCTCACGGTTCTGCAGGCTGCAAGTTTAAGATAAAGGTGCCAGCAGGTTTGGATTCTGGTGAGGCCTCTCTCCTCGGCTTTCAGACGGCTGCCTTCCTGATGTGTCCTAACTTGGCCTTTCCTCTGGGCACACATCCCTGGTGTCTCTTCTTCTTCTTATAAAGACATCAGTTGTATTGGATCGAAGTCCCACTGTAATGACCTCATTTAACCTTAATTACCTCCTTAAAGGACCTGTCTCAAATTCACTCACATTGGGAGCTGGGGCTTCAATATAATGAATTCTGGGGGCCACAGTTTAGTCCCTAACACCCAGCATCATGTGGAGCAGGGAATACAGAGACTTGGGCAAATAGGAAAGTTGGAGTGGGGTTGATACATGTGTCCTGCATCCCTGACTCTTACCTATGTTTCACAAGAAGGCCCAGAAGACACTTCCATCACTAAGATATCAAGGAATACCTTAGTGAGAGGAGCAGTTGCATCCTTAAAAAGTTCTGTGGCTGCTTTCCTTCATAGGCCAGATATGATCATGGGGGATGCTGCTATTTGGATGGGCTCCCTGATCTCACTGGAGCTAGTCAGATCCCAGAGTGGCAGAAGTCAAGTGGCAGCACTTAACTGCCAAAGACAAGGACAGCATTGATGTTTCAGCAAGAGGAATCTGACATGGCATTCCTAGGAATGATAGACGGGCAGCCTCCTAGTGTATCACCTGGTCTATATCATTGAAAAATACTAGGTCATGTAGCTAAAAACTGACTTGAGCCACTGCATTGGAGCAACCAAATTTCTCACCGAACTTCCAGACATAAGTCAGTTCACAAATTCAGTCTTTTGATTGAAGGGGAGACTGGGTCTCCTTAGGGAAGGACCCTGGAGCTTTGCAAGTACATATCATAAGTCTTCCTTGAATGTTTCTCCAAGGGGACTTGTTGCTTTCAATTGAGTGACTGTGCATTAGGGAAAAAGAAATGCCCAAATCTTTGGGGAATTTCTAGACATTGGCTCTAAATTCATGCTAATTCTTGGAGATTCAGAACACCACTGTGGTCCCCCAGTAAAGCTGGGACTTTAGGTGCTCAGGTGATAGATGGAGTCTTCACCTCAACTCTGACTTGTAGTTTTTGCTTCATGTATTTTGGGGGTTTGTTGTTATGTCCATGCTATGGATTGAATCTTTGTGTCTTGCCCAAAATTCATATGTTGAAATCCTGACTCCCAAGGTGATAGTGTTAGAAGGCTGGGTCTTTGGGAGGTAATTAGGTCGTGATGATGAACGCCTTATGAATGGGATTAGTGCCGTTATAAGGGAGGCCCAAAGGAGCTTGTTTGCCTTCCACCATGTGAAGACACAGCTAGAAGGCACCATCTGTGAAGCAGAGGGCAAGCCCTCACCTGATACTGAATTTGCTGGCACCTTGATCTTGGACTTCTCAGCCTTCAAAACTCTGAGAAATAAATTTCTGTTGTTTACAAGCCACCCACTTTATGGTATTTTGTTACTGCAGCCTGAACAGACTAATACATTCATATACACTTACAATTGCTCTATCTTCCTGACTATTGACCTTCTTATCATCAAGAAATGTCTCTCTTTGTCTATGCTAATGTTTCTTGTCTTAAAGTCCTTTATTCTCTGATATTTATGTAGCTACTCTCTTTTATGGTTACTGTTTGCATTGTAAGGCCTTTTCTATGCTTTTACTTTCAATCTGTTTGTGTCTTTGAATTTAAGGTGTGTTTCTAGTAGACAGCATGTAACTGGGCCTTGCTTTTTTATCCATTCTGAGTAACCTTGCCTTTTGAATGTGATGTTTAGTCAATTTCTATTTAATATCATTACTCATGTGGTTAAATTTACATACGCCATTTTGCTATTTGCTATTTGTATCATGTCTTTTTTCTTCCCTTTTCCCTCCTTTACTACTTTCTTTTGTATTATTTCTTTGTTTTTTTTTTTTTCTTTTGAGACGGAGTCTTGCTCTGTTTCCCAGGCTGGAGTGCAGTGGCACGATCTCAGCTCACTGCAAGCTCCGCCTCCCTGGTTCATGCCATTCTCCTGCCTCAGCCTCCCGAGTAGCTGGGACTAGAAGCACCAGCCACCACGCCCAGCCAATTTTTTTGTATTTTCAGTAGAGACAGGGTTTCACCATGTTAGCCAGGATGGTCTCGATCTCCTGACCTCATGATCCAGCCGCTTCGGCCTCCCAAAGTGCTGGGATTATAGGCATGAGCCACTACGCCTGACCTGTTGTGTTATTTCTTTTGTGTTGCTTTTAGTGTACCATTTTAATGCTTCTGTTGACTTTTTTATTATTTTTAAAGTTATCTTAAGCTCTACAAATTACAATATGGACCTCAATATATCACATTCTATTTTATTTAATTTTGATTTTTAATTTTTGTGGATACATAGTCGGTGTATATATTTATGGGTACATGAGATGTTTGATGTAGGCATGTAATACATAATAACCACATCATGGAAGATGGGGTGTATCACAGTCCAGTTTAGAATAATTTAACTCAATTCTACTAAAATATAGAAATTTCACTCCTTTCCCCTTCCTTCTTTTTTTTTTTTTTTTTTTTTTTTTTTTTTTTTTTTTTTTTTTTTGAGACAGAGTCTCCCTCTGTCATCCAGGCTGGAGTGCAGTGGCACGATCTCGGCTCACTGCAACCTCTGCCTCCCGGGTTCAAGTGATTCTCCTGTCTCAGCCTCCTGAGTTGCTGGGATTACAGTTGTGCACCACCATGCCCAGCTAATTTTTGTATTTTTCATAGAGATGGGGTTTCGCCATATTGGCCAGGCTGGTCTTGAACTCCTGACCTCAAGTGATCCGCCCGCCTCGGCCTCCGAAAGTGCTGGGATTACAAGTGTGAGCCATCGTGCCCGGCCCCTTTCTTTCTTAACATTGCTTAAGTATCCTCTTCCTTTATCTTTTATGTAATAACCATAAATATTGCAACTATATTTGTTATGAACTGAAAAATACAGTGTTATGCAATCTTATGTCATTTAAAGAAGATGAGATAAAAGGTGTATGGAGTCATTTATATCTGCTCTCATATTTATTATATCTGGTCTTGTCATTTATTCCTGGGAACTCAAGTGATCATCTTGTGTCATTTCCTTTCAGCCTGAAGAACTTCCTTCAGCTTTTCTTGTAAGGCATGTCTGCCAGCCATTTCTCTCTGCTAGCCATTTCTCTCTGTCTTTGTATACGTCAGAATGTTTATTTTGCCTTCGTTTTTGAAGGATGAGTTGCTACAGGTGTAATTCTGGTTTAGCAATTATTTTCTCTTTCAGCCCTTTGAATTTGTCATTCTACTGCCTTGTGCCCGCCATTGTTTTTGATGCATAGTTTTTTTCTCTTGCTACTTTCAATATTTTCTCTGTCTTTGACCTTCAACAGTCTGATTATAATGTGTTTAGGTGTGGGTCTCTTTGTGTTTGTCTTTCTTGGGATTGATTGAGCTTATTGGATCTGCTGAGTATTGGTTTTCCTCCAATGTGGGAAATATTGGCCATTGTTTCTTCCATTCTTTTTCTGTTCCTTTCTCTCTCTCCCTTATACATGTGTTGCTGTGCTTGATTTTGCCCCATAGGTTTTTGATGTTCTGCTTATTTTCTTCAGTCTTTTTTCTCTATTCTTCAGATTAGATAATTTCTGTTGAGCTATTTGTTCAAGTTCACTGATTCTTTCTTCTGTTTTCCAATTTGCTGTTGAGTCCCTCTGGCAATTTTTAAAATTTCAGTTACTTTACTTTTCAACCCCAGGCTTTGACTTAATTCTTTAAAAAAATAATAATAATTTCTGTCTCTCTGTTGAGCTTCCCTACCAGTCAGATCATTGTCATCATACTTTAATTTTTATCAAGTGCAGTTTCCTTTAGGTCTTTGAAGATTTTTTTAAAATAGCTGTTTTGAAATCTTTTGTCCACTAAATCCAGCATCTAAAGGCACTCAGAGATAATTTCTGTGGACTATTGACTATTTTTCCCCTGAGTGTAGGTCACTTTATTTTTTTCATGTCTCATAATTTTTTTCTTGACTACTTCAGGTAGTATATTCTAGCAACTCTGGATTCTGACTTTTTTCCCCGAGGGTTGTTGTTTTGTGTTTTGTTTACTTGGATTAAATCTTTAATGTCTGTCTCCCCTGCAATGCATGGCCACTAGTGTCAGGCTTTTTGTTTGTTTGTTTCTTAATTAGAGAAGTAAATAAACAAAAGAATGGCTACTCCATAGACAGAGCAACAGCTTTTTTTTTTTTTTTTTTAGTGGGATATATGTGCAGAACATGCAGGTTTGTTACATAGGTATACATGTGCCATGGTGGTTTGCTGCACCCATCAACCCATCGTCTAGATTTTAAGCCCCACATGCATTAGGTATTTGTCCTAATGCTCTTCCTCCTCTTGCCCCCCACCCCCCAACAGACCCCAGTGTGTGATGTTCCCCTCCCTATGTCCATGTGTTCTCATTGTTCAACTCCCACTTATGAGTGAAAACATGCAGTGTTTGGTTTTCTGTTCCTGTGTTAGTTTGCTGAGAATGATAGCTTCCAGCTTCATCCATGTCCCTGCAATGGACATGAACTCATTCTTTTTTTATGGCTGCATAGTATTCCATGGTGCATATGTGCCACATTTTCTTTATCCAGTCTATCATTGATGGGCATTTGAGTTGGTTCCAAGACTTTGCTACTGTAAATAGTAGAGCAGCAGCTTTTTCCTTCTCTTATAGTTAAGCCTGATGTTACCTTTGGGTCAGATATCTTAGTGTTCAATTGGCCAGAGATTGTGCGCAGGCAGCTCCATCCAGGAAGGCCTCCACTCCCTGCTGATGGATCTGTGTGTTGGCTGGGTACCATTCAAACTTAAGGCTGTTTTCCAGCCCCAGCTTTTACTCTATGCCGAGCTCTCTTGCAGTTCTCTGTGTGCAGTTCCCATCAGCCAGGGCTGTGTGGGTGGCTTGGGCCTACTCTGGTTTATACTGCTTATGTGCATAGCCTCCAGTCAGCTAAGGCTATATGGAGAGCTATCAAGCCCCTATTATTGAATTACATCCTGGAACTCCATGTTAAATCCTTGGCCAGTTTGCCGGTCAGTGCATCGATTACCCCAAACAGGCTCATTATCTCAGACTAGGGCACCACTTGTCTTCCTTGTTTGCTTGCCACCAAAATCGTCACCTTAACAGTGCTCCAAATCAAGTGATCCCTGCCCATCAGCGGCCACAAAGCTTGTGGTTTTCACAGCCTGCCCTGCCCTGGTGGAGCTACCACACTGACAGAGTTGGGGGTTGGGGGGCAGCCCAGGCAACAACCACCCAGAGCTTCGTGTTCTTTTCTGCAGTTCAGTCATTTTCAGGAACTTCTCAGTTTGTTATCTGCCTTTCAATGACTTTCAGGGTGCTGAAGTGGTTGCTTTTTGACAGCACTGTCTGACTGTGTGATTGCTTTTTTTTTTTTTTTTTTTTTTTTTGAGCAGGAGCCTCACTCTTGTCACCCAGGCTGGAGTGCAGTGACGCGATCTCGGCTCACTGCAACTTCTGCCTCCCGGCTTCAAACGATTCTCTTGCCTCAGCTTCCCAAGTAGCTGGGATCATAGGCGCCCACCACTACGCCTGGCTAATTTTTGTATTTTTAGTAGAGCTGGGGTTTCACTATGTTGGCTAGGCTGGTCTCGAACTCCTGACCTCAGATGATGATCCACCCACCTCGGCCTCCCAAAGTGTTGGGATCACAGGCGTGAGCCACCGCGCCTGGCCTGTGATTCCTTTTGGGGAAGAGTATTTATAGACCTCCTTATTCCATCATGCTATAAATTAATTTCCTATGGATATTTTTCTTTTTTTTCAACATCTCTCTTTTCTACACTGAACATGTTTTTACTCTTAATAGGAATAAAATAATAAGAAATGTAATTATTGTTATTTTGCTTTCTATTATTTACTTTTTAATCGACACATAATAATTTTACATATTTATGGGGTACATAGTGTTATTTGATACAAATCATGTGTAGTGGTCAAATCAGAGTAATTGGCATATCCATCATAAAGGTAATTATTTAAAAATTGTTTTACGAAAACAAATCAAACTTTACATTCTTCCACCAAGTACTAACCAAGGCTGACCTGCCTAGGTTTTGAGATCAGATGAGATCGGGAATGTTCAGGGTGGTACGGCCGTAGACAAACCTTACATTCTAAGATCTATTCATACCTTCAGTTTTTACATGCAAGATAAACCGGACCTTTTCCTTGTGCAGATGGGCTTATGTGCAGAATGCAGAAGCTTGGTGCCCATGAACACTCCCATCTGTGTGGTGTGTGAGGCCCCTCTTGCTCTACAGCTGCAGCCACAGGCAAGCCTCCACTTGAAGGTAATGAAGTGTGATTCTGTAAAAACATGAATGAAATACATAGTAATGTTTGAACAGGTATATGTCCTTTTTCAGCTGGTGGGATGGGGTAACAATTTTTTTTTTTTTTTTTTTTTTTTGAGACAGAGTCTTGCTCTGTCACCCAGGCTGGAGTGCAGTAGCATGATCTCGGCTCACTGCAACCTCTGCCTCCTCGGTTCAAGTGATTCTCCTGCCTTAGCTTCCCGAGTACCTGGGACTATAGGCATGCACCACCACGCTGGCTAATTTTTATATTTTTAGTAGACATGGGGTTTCTTCATCTTGGCCAGGCTGGTCTCAAACTCCTGACCTCAGGTGATCCACCCACCTCAGCCTCCCAAAGTGCTGGACTGTAGGCATGAGCCACCGTGCCCACCAGGATGGGGTAACACTTGATAACCTAATATACATGAACAAAATCCATTCTCATTTTTGGTAAGGTATGCCGTCCAGGAGTTTAACTTGCCAATAGGATCTATTATATTAAGAGAGATACGTAGGATTGTATTCCCTGAATAAGGATTTGGAGGGCAAATTGCACTACAGCTAATGTAGACAATTTTTTACTTCATATATTTAAACTCCAACATTGCAATTAGTATTGATTTATAATTTTGTGCTTAAAGTGACTTCAGACTTTTGTTTGCTTTATTTAATTATAGGTTCTTATTATGGAGAAAAAGAATGACTAGAACTAGTCACATGGAAGAAAAAGTTATGTATCATCACTTACATCCAAAAACTTTGCTAGAAAAATGATATCATACTGTGAAAAATTTTTTCATATAATCATTAAACATACAACTAAATCTTTTCTCCATCCTTCAATTTACAGTCCCATTTACCTCCTCTTTAATCCCAAGTAAAGGTCACTAGAGGATAAAATAGATTTAATAGAGGGAATTTGGGGGATTAAAAAACCAAGAATTTTTAGCAATAAGGGAAATGCATGGCGTTATGTACAGGCCATAACACTCCTAAAATGGCCTGTGGGTTGTATATGGGCAAAATGTATTCAGAGAAAAGATAAGTCCACTTTTTCTTCCACCTTCAAGCTGCCTTTAGCATGAAGAGTTCACAAGTGTCCAAGACTGTGTGAGCCTTCAGAAATGAGATTTTTGAAAAACTGGCCAGGCCAAAGTCAGGTAGAGGAAAATTTACCAATCTTTTTGTTCAATGACTATTTTCAATCTTAAGATGCTTTAAGATGCTGCAGGAAGCCACTATACAGCCCTGGAAGTCTGTCTCCAGACTTCTTATATATGGGAGAGAGAAATCTATTTTTCTCTTGTTTATTTAAGCCTGTGTTATTTTGGGTGTTCTGTCAATCACAGCGAATCTATTCTTATTAATACATTTATTCAGGATGTTTGAAGATAATATCACTGCAAACTCTTTGGACTATTCAGAACAGGAAGAATAGGGGTCAGTGTTAGTTGTGACCCCAACTTAATATATATAATATCATCTTCAGTATTTGAAATCTAGAGTTCTTCCCATTTCATGGGAAGGCGGAGAGACACAAAGGTACATGTAAGTAATTTTTCCCTTCAATTTGTTGTAAATCCTATACTGAGAATAAACACAGGACTTCTGCAGTGATAGGTAGCATCAAATCCAGGAACAGCCTCTTTCTTGCAGGGCAATTTTTATAAGAGAGATTTTTATAACTTATAATAAGTTATAATAGGAATAATTTTATAACTTATTTCTACTCCATAGGTGGGCCAAAGTTAGAACATATAATGAGGAAATCAATAATGAATTCAAAGATGAGATTTAGAAAATGTGCCTCAAAACTTTGCAAGGAGTTTGATTTTGCTGGGCTGCAACAATGCTGGGGTGCTGTGGGTTATGGGAGATGGCACCTTCTCTACCAGACTTAGTAGCTCAGATTTCTCCCTGTGGGCCCTGAAGGTTGAAAGTGGGGACAGGGCCGGGCGCGGTGGCTCAAGCCTGTAATCCCAGCACTTTGGGAGGCCGAGACGGGCGGATCACGAGGTCAGGAGATCGAGACCATCCTGGTTAATATGGTGAAACCCTGTCTCTACTAAAAAGTACAAAAAAACTAGCCGGGCAAGGTGGCGGGCGCCTGTGGTCCCAGCCACTTGGGAGGCTGAGGCAGGAGAATGGCGTGAACCCGGGAGGCGGAGCTTGTAGTGAGCTGAGATCTGGCCACTGCACTCCAGCCTGGGCAACAGAGCGAAACTCCGTCTCAAAAAAAAAAAAAAAAAAAGAAAGTGGGGACAGGTTTTAACCAGACTTGATTTGTAGAGAGACTTTAATCACCATAACCTCTGATCCTGGAGAGAAGTGTGTGACTTTTTATGCCAATCACTATTACTGCTTCTACTCACAGAAGGACATCTGTTTGGAAACCCCGGCCTGACAATCTTCCTTCCAGTGCCTCTCCCAGATGTCATAAGGGTGACAGGTTTTGAGATAACGTTCTCACCCAGACAGCCACCTCTGAAGTTGGTGGGAATACTCATGTGAACTGCTCAGGGAAGCCAGCAAGCCTTACCTCCCGGCAGGTGGCAGCATGCCATTGACAGCTCCCGTCCCCTTTCTTCGTTGGTCTCTAGCTCACTCCACTGAGCACACAAGCACAATCGGCGCTCTTCCTTCTATGATGAAGACAGATTCCATGGCAGTTGCAGTTGCAGTCTTGTCTTGTGTGCATTTAAGGCGCTGTCAATGCTGAAGAATTTTGCTCTATCAGATTTTTTTTTTTTTTTTTTTTTCTGCCGGGATTAGAACATACAGTAGCAGAAGTTTCTGTATTTGACCTCTGGCGAAGACACCTATTTCAGAAGAAGAGAGGATTTTACAACTTACTTGTTTAAAATAATTAATACCTAATTTTTGGTAACAACTAATCCAAAGATGTACCAAAAAGTGTATAATTTCTTCACTCTACCTCCATTTCTATTTCTCTGAAATAACCAGCGTTAGCAGCTTAGAGTGTCCTTTTACATATTTTTCTAGATTCACAGAAACATGTTTATGTGTATTCATACATTTAGATTTGGTTTGGTTTGGTTTTTTAAACAAAATGAAATCATGTTATATACTTTTCCTCGCAACTTATTTATTTCACTTAACAAATGCATCTATTGGCCATTTTCTTTTTTTATTTTTATTATTAATTTTTTTTGAGACAAGTTCTCACTCTGTCATCTAGGCTGGAGTGCAGTGGCACGATCATGACTCATTGCAACCTGACTTCCCGGGATCAAGTGATCCTCTTACCTCAGGCCCCCAAGTAGCTGGGACCACAGGCATATGCCACCACGCCAGGCTAATTTTTCTATTTTTTGTAGAGATGGGGTTTCGCCTTGTTGCCCAGGCTGGTCTGGAACTCCTGGGCTCACATGATCCTCCCACCTTGGCCTCCCAAGGTTCTGGGATTACGGGTGTGAGCCACCGCACCTGGCCTCCATTGGCCGTTTTCTAAAGTTGAAACTAATTTTTGCATCCCTGTTCACCAGAAGATGTTAACTCAAGGCATTTATCAAGAAGAGCTACTACAGTTTCCTTTGGGATTTTATGAGCAACATACAATGTACCTCCAGGACTTCAGTCATGTTTGTGGTTCTTAGAATTTGTGAGCCTTAGGTCTGGGATCATCCTGAAAAGATCTGATGATTCCTGTGCCTGAGGCACAGGTGCCTTCAGTGAGTGCCAGCCTCTCACACTGTGATTTGGGGTTAAGGCCAGTGTAATCACAGCTCCACATCAAGCAGAACTTTAGCGTAGTCAGTTTTGAGATTAAGTTTGCAATGACCTACTAGTTCGTTTTCAATATTCTTCCTTTTTAATTGTGTCAATTAAAGCTTATCACTTGGGAGTCTGAAAATTGTTCTCCTCTTCCAACTACTTTAAAAGGAAAAGTTTTATTCCAGTGACTAAGTGGCTCTGTTAAATAGCTTAGAATCTTTCAACTAGACAGTATGTTGCAAAGTCTGTGGATGAAATGGCAAATGAGGATATTGACTTTTTAAAAGTGCTTATCATAGGTGTTTGCCATCCCCGTTAAGGCCATCTGATGGTGGCCTCAATTCCAAATCACCTCCACAGACATCTGTGAATTTATGAGTGTAGTGGATTGTGATATAAAATGATTTCTAACTGTGGGTCATGGTCACTGCTCTAGAAAGAAGTGAGCCATGGCACGGTGTCAAAAGTCTCCACAAAAAAAAAAATAACAAAAAAAAACCCAACACATAGAAAAACCCGTCAACCAAGAAAACTATGTTTAATAGACCTGATGCAGTAAGGTAGACCATCACTTAGACAAGTTCGTAGTAGTATCTCAGAAGAAGGAAGTCAGGACAAGGTATTTAAAGGGAGTTAGTGCTGGACCCTAATGTCAACCACGGGCTGTGGGTGATAATGATGTGTCAATGATGTTCATTGATTGTGACAAATGTACCACTTGGGTGTGGGATGTCCATAGCGTGGGGGAGACCGTGTCTGTGGGATGGGACAGGGTATACGAGAATCTTCTGTAATTTCCACTCAATTTTGCTGTGAACCTTAAACTGTTCTAAAAATAAAGTTTAAAGTTTATTAAAATTTAAAAAAACAGAGTTTTGCAAGGCGGGGCGGGGATTGGACAGAGTATGCACTGGGCAAAGTTGTGAGAAGCAGTTTTGGATTATGAGCCCCCCAAGGTGAGGTCTTGAAGGAAGCTGTTGGACTTGAGAAGTAAGCAGTTTTCGTTGTTCTCCAGTTTTCCCTTCCTAGAGGAAGTATTTTCTGCAGCACACAGCAAGATTACTTTTATTTGATCTCAGTGTTTTTTAACATGGAGACAGGAAATTTGTCTCATTTCTCAGTGGGTTTCACCAGATCTTTTCTGAGGCAACATCTTCAGGAAAGTCACAGCACTAAATCTCATAGATAAATGCTGGCCAATTGCTGATTATGCTGTGGCAACTTTAAGTAACTTTGAAGAATGTTGGCCCCCAGGGAGTATCAGGAACCATTGAGAGCAAGACTGTGATTCTCTGCCATTTCGAATAGCAGTCAGTTGGCCTCTGCCCTTTAGGAGTCGTTTAGATTGGCAACTGTGGTACGTTGGCTCAGTTCCTAGGAAAACTTTGGAATCTTCCACTAAAATGGAGTTAACCAGACTTTGAAAGTCTGGGACTCCATAGAGCTACCTGGTGGTATTGGAAATAAACCCCCTGGAGTTGGGCTTTCTTTTTCTTGATCATCCACTTTACCTGTGCCAGCTTCTGAAGACACTGTTGGATATACTAGTTTCGGGACACCTAGGGACCACAGTGCTGGACTAGAAAGGAACACTTGAGCACCACTGGTCATTGACAATGGAAAAAGATTGTATCCTGAGAGAATAGAGTGGTCAGTAACGTGTTAGAAAACCTCTGAGAGCTGAGCTGTAGACTATTTTTACCATCATTTCTTTGTCTTTTGTTTTTCTCTGTGTTGCAACTTAACCCCAAGGTCCTGTCTTAGAAAGTTGTACTTACGGCCAGGCACAGTGGCTCACGCCTGTAATCCCAGCACTTTGGGAGGCTGAGGTGGGCAGATCACGAGGTCAGGAGTTCGAGACCAGCCTGATCAATATGGTAAAAACCTCGTCTCTACTAAAAATTCAAAAATTAGCCAGGCATGGTGGCACGCGCCTGTAGTCCCAGCTACTTGGGAGGCTGAGGCAGAGGAATCACTTGAACCCGGGAGGTAGAGGTTGCAGTGAGCTGAGATCACGCCACTGCACGTCAGCCTGGGCAACAGAGTGAGACTCTGTCTCAAAAAAAAAAAAAAAAAAAAAAGGAAGTTGTACTTACCACTGTCTTTCTTTGGCAGTCTTTTCACTTCTTCCATTTCTAAGTAAAAACTACAGAGCAAACCTAAAATTCATATTTAACATGAAGCCCCAGAAGGTAAACCCCAGTCCAAGAACCAGATTACTTGTAAACACGCAGATAATCCCTTGCTGGTCTAGGGTCTTTCTGTTTACTGTTTAAGCCGTGAAATGGAACATCTACTCAGTATCATGGTTTTCACACTGGAGAAACACACACACACACCCCCAACCTTACACATAACCAGTGCAGAATTTCCAACTTACCTTTTGAAGACCAAACGAATACTCTTTTCAGTATTTCCTTGTTGGTGGTTTTGTTTCTTTTAAAACTACATTCAGGCTGGGCATGGTGGCTCACACCTATAATTCCAGCACTTTAGGGGGCTAAAGTGGGAGGATCACTTGAGGCCAGGAGCTGGACACCAGACTGGGCAACACAGTCAGATCCCATCTCTACAAAAACAAATGAAAGAAAACAAACAAAAAAAACCCCTACAGATATTTGTCTGACACTATTTACAGTAACTCCTAAACCAATCCAATATTCAGGGCCTGGGTGCAATAATAGGGCCTGTAGCTGAATGACTGACAGAAAAGACTGCTTGATGATTTCTTTGCACAGTTGTTTGCTCAGAGGAACATGTATTTCTTATTTTTTGTTGTTAAGGAGAAGGTAATTTGCCGGGCCTGTGGTACAGGAAATCCCGCTCACCTGAGATACTGTGTCACCTGTGAGGGGGCCCTGCCTTCATCACAAGAGGTAGGTTGATTGCATGTGCCAATCCTATATTTAGTGGCTACTATGTCAATGTTAATGATAATAGAGAAACAGAATCTGCTGAGGGGATTGGGGAGACAGACCCAAAAAAGCTTCTCTTGGTAAACTGAAAGCAAGATTTCCATATGTGGGGAGAACTTTATATCAACACAAAATTATTTTCAAAGTCTTAACTTCAAGAGGATTGAGTAAAATCAATAATTTTGTATGATTTTGTTTAATAACTTTGCATGGGAGGCTGGCATTAGCCTGTGGGGAAGTGAACTCATTCACATTTCATTACAGACAGGTATGTCTTTGTCGTCCCCTCCACTTTCCCACACCCCATAGTCCATTGTTTTCGTTGACTCTGTATGCACACTGCTTTTTGAAATTGAGAACATTGTAGCCACTTATCTCTTGGGTTTCCTGCCAGCCTATTTTGAATGTTGGAGTGAAGGAATAGGAGTATATGCACTTTAAATACAGTGATGATCTATTTTATGTTTATCAAATGTTTCTGATGAAAATGAAAATTACTTCCAGGTGACTCTTGCTTTGTGCCAGGAAGAAGCTGGCATTTACTAGCCAACTTAGAAGAAAAAACTTACTGCTTCTGGGTTGCTGTGTATGTTTTTGATTGTTTGTAGGGTTTGTTCTCATCTCAGAGAGATTCCTCATGAAACTGGACAATGTGGTTAGTTGGTCTACAGCAGCAGTCCCCAACCTTTTTGGCATCAGGGACTGGTTTTGTAGAAGACAATTTTTCCATGGACCTGTTTGGGGGATGGATTCAGGATGAAACTGCTCCTCCTCACATCATCAGTCATGAGTTAGATTCTCATAACCTAGATCCGTCACGTGCGCGGTTCACATTTGGGTTCGCGCTCCTATGAGAATCGAATGCTGCCGCTGATCTGATAGGAGGTGGAGCACTCACCTCCTGCTGTCCGGCCCAGTTCCTAACAAGCCGGGGATCCATACAGGTCCGTGGCCCGGGGCTTGGGGACCCCTGGTCTGCCTGATTAGTATCAAATGGGTGTGTACTAGTTTCCTAAGCACCATCAACTAGGTGGCTAACAACGACCGAAATCTATTGTCTTACAGCTCTGGAGGCTAGAAGTCTAAAATCAAGGTATTGGCAGGGCCATACTCCCTCTGAAGGTTCTGGGGAATGAACTGTTCCATCTCCTCCCCCAGCTTCTGATAGCCTCAGGCTTCCCTTGGCTTCTAGATGCAGCACTCCAGTCTCTGCCTTTGCCATCCCATGGAGCTCTCCCTCTGTGTCTGCCTGTGTGTGTATGCCACTGTGTCCAGGTTTCCCTTTTTCATAAGGACACCAGTCACACTGGATTAGGGCCCACCCTAATGACCACATTTTAACTTGATTACTTCTGTACAGACCTTTTTCCAAATAAGGTCTCATTTTGAGGTACTGGGAGTTAGGACTTCAACTTATCTTTTTCTGGGCAGACAGAATTCAACCTATAACAGTGGAGTTGGACAAGATACCTTTCTTTTCTTTTAGGATGGAGTCTCGCTCTGTCACCCAGGCTGGAGTGCAGTGGTGCAGTCTCGGCTCACTGCATCCTCTGCCTCCCAGGTTCAAGCGATTCTCCTGCCTCAGCCTCCTGAGTAGCTGGGATTACAGGTGCATGCCACCACACCCGGCTAATTTTTGTATTTTTAGTAGAGACGGGATTTCACCATGTTGGCCAGGCAGGTCTTAAATGCGTGACCTCATGATCCGCCCACCTCGGCCTCCCAAAGTGCTGGGATTACAGGCTTGAGTCACTATGCCCTCTGACAAGATACCTTTTTTTTTTTTTTTAATTAATTTATTATTATTATTATACTTTAAGTTCTAGGGTACATGTGCACAACATGCAGGTTTGTTACATATGTATACTTGTGCCATGTTGCTGTGCTGCACCCATCAACTCGTCAGCACCCATCAACTCGTCATTTACATCAGGTATAACTCCCAGTGCAATCCCTCCCCCCTCCCCCCTCCCCATAATAGGCCCCGGTGTGTGATGTTCCCCTTCCGAGTCCAGGTGATCTCATTGTTCAGTTCCCACCTGTGAGTGAGAACATGCAGTGTTTGGTTTTCTGTTCTTGTGATAGTTTGCTAAGAATGATGGTTTCCAGCTGCATCCATGTCCCTACAAAGGACACAAACTCATCCTTTTTTATGGCTGCATAGTATTCCATGGTGTATATGTGCCACATTTTCTTAATCCAGTCTGTCACTGATGGACATTTGGGTTGATTCCAAGTCTTTGCTATTGTGAATAGTGCCGCAATAAACATACCTTTTAATGTCATCTCATCACGGACAGTCTTAAGAGTAGTTGATTTGAAGGAACTTCTTTTGTTTCCAGCTTTATTGAGATATAATTTATATGCAATAAAATTCACCTATTTTAATTGTACAGTTTGATGAATGTTGGTAATTATATATAGCCATTTTAACTACCACCACAATGAAGATATTTAACAGTTCCATTTACCCTGAAAAGTTTTCTCATTCTTCTTTCTAGTTGAGCCACTTCCCTGGTCACCAGACCCAAAAAATACAGATCTGTTTTGACACTATGATTTTGTCTTTTATAGAAGTATGTAGTTTTTTGTGAGTGCTTCATTTCCTTCACTTAGCAGAATGTTTTTGGGGTTCATTCATGTTGTTGCATGTATTAATTTTTTTTTTCATTTTGATTGTTGAGTAGTATTCCTCAGTATGGATATACTGGTTGATTCATCCACAGGTACTCATGCTGTTTCCAGTGCTGGCACGTTATGAATAATGCTGCATTACATGCAAATCTCTGTGTGGGCATAGTTTTCATTTTCCTTAGGTAAATACCTAGGGGTAGGATTGCTGGGTCCTATTTAAGCGCATGTTTAATTTTATAAGATACTGACCTATATGAAACTGGAACCTTCATATATTGCTGCTAGGAACACAAGTGGTATACCTTCATATATTGCTGGCCTATCACTTGTGTTTCTACTAGCAATATATAAAGGTTCCAGTTTCTCTACATCATCTCCAACACTTACTATCACCTGTCTTTTATTTTTTCTTCCTTCCTTCCTTCCTTCCTTCCTTCCTTCCTCCTTTTCTTTCTTTCTTTCTTTTTTGTCGTTGTTGAGACAGAGTCTCACTCTGTCACCCAGGCTGGAGTGCAGTGGCACAGTCTCGGGTTACTGCAACCTCCACCTTCCGGGTTCAAGCCATTCTCCTGCCTCAGCCTCCCAAGTAGCTGGGACTATAGGTGCCCGCCACCATGCCTGGCTAATTTTTTTGTTGTATTTTTAGTAGAGAGGGGGTTTCGCCATATTGGCCAGGCTGGTTTCGAACTCCTGACCTCAGGCGATCCGCCCGCCTCGGCCTCCCAAAGTGCTGGGACTACAGGTGCCCAGCTGGCGCCTGGCTGGTATCACCAATCATTTTAATCATGATATTCCCTTTTTACCATTTTAATGTATGTAGGATCTATAGTGATATTATTCCCCTCTTTCATGCCTGATACTTGTAATATGTGTGTTCTTTCTTTATCATTCCCTCTCTCTCTGTCTGGCTTGTAAATTTTATTGATCTTTTCAAAGAACTAGCTTCTGGTTCATTCATTTGCTCTATTTTTTTGAATCCTATATTTTTTTATTTTGCTCTTCATTATTTTATTATTTTTTCTTTGGGTTTAATCTGATTTTCTTTTTCTAATTTTTAAGGTGAGAACTCAAATTATTAATTTCAAATTTTTCTTATTTTCTAACACAAACTATAAATTTCTAAGAACTTATTTAGCAGCATCCCTATGTATTTTCATTATAATTCAGTTTGAAATGTTTTCTCATTTATCAATGATTTCTTTTTTGACCTATGACTTATTTATTAGTTCCAAAACATATGAGCTTTCTCTGTTTATCTTACTCTTATTGAGGTCAAATTTAATTCCATTAATGGTCAGAGAGCACACTCTGTATAATTTCAGTTATTTTAAATTAATGAGGTTTATTTTATGGCCCAGGATCTAACTTGCAAAACATACCAGGTGCGTTTGAAAAGAATGTGTGAGTGGAGTATTCTATAAATATCAAATCAATGTGAAGTGTTGCACAGATATTACATATATTTGCTTATTTTTGTCTAGTTTTTCTAGCAAATAATGAAAAAGAGGTATTGGAAAGCTCCAACTATAGGAGGTGAAAGACTTGAACGTTAAACACTGAAAAACATTGATGGAGGGAATTGAAGAGACACAAGTACAGTCATGCATCACTTAATGACAGGGAAACATTCTGAGAAATGCATTGTTAGGTTGTTTTATTGTTATGTGAACATCGTGGCATGTACAGTATTTCACAAGCCTAGATGGTATAGCCTACTGCGTACCTAGGCTATCTGGTATACCCTATTGCTCCTAGGTTACAAACTTTACTCAATACTCTAGGCAATTGTAATACACATCACAAGGTGATAGAGGTTTTTGGCTTCTGTAAAGTGTGATGGGGCCTACTGTCATATGTGCAGTTTTTCGTTGACCAAAATGTCATTATGTGGTGCATGACTGTAAATGGAAAGATATCCCATGTTCATGGACTGGATGACTTAATATTGTTAAAAGGTCCATACTCTATCAAAATTTTGCTGACATTTTTCACAGAAATAGAAAAAAAATCTTAAAATTTGTTTGGAACCACAAAAGACCCTGAATAGCCAAAGGAATTTTGAGAGAGAGAGAAAAAAAAAAACAAAACCAGAGATATCACACTTCCTGAGCTACTATAAAGCTATACTGGCTGAGTATCTCTTATCTGAAATGGTTGGAACCAGAAGTATTTGGATTTTAGGTTTTCTGGACTTTGAAATATTTGTGTATTTATAATGAGATATTTTGTTGATGGGACCCAAGTCTAAACATGAAATTCTTTGTTTCTTATACAAGTTATACAAATGGCCTGAAGGTAATTTTATATAATATTTTAAATAATATTGT